AAAACATGTACTTCTGATTGAATGCCTTGTGGCCAGTGAGTAGTTGTTTTAATGAGATTTATCAAATAAAACCACAGACATAGCCCATAATAATTATACCCTCACTAACATCTTCATGTGTTGTTAGATTTGTTTTCTCTTAGTTTATGCCAGATGAAAACAGATGAATTGCAGTCTACTGCAAGGACAGTGGGGAGGTCTCAGAGACATTATCCCCACTCCCCACAGCCTACCCCCTGCCATCAGGGGTCAAAGCATTCAAATGTTCTGATTAGTGATATTTTTAAAAGCCCTAATTATAGACTTAAGACAGAGGCCTTAGTGGGGCTTTAGGGAGTTTGTGAGACTTAATCTAGGGCCTGAAACAGGCTGTGTTTTCAAAAATTTTTGCATCAATAAAAATACAGTTGGCAGTCATCAGCATCCACCACTCACATAAATCTTGAACTTTTGACTTGATTACCATGGGAGAGTTCAAAGGGCAGGCTGGAGTGGTTGCAAGAGCTCTGCTCAGGGAGCTGGAGACGGGTCTGGCCTTCGCCTGGCCTCTGGCTGTGGGACCCTGATCAAATCACTTAACCTTTCTGGATGACATTGATAACATCAGCCTGTGGGCCAGATGGTCACGGAGTCTCTTTTGGTACAGCCCAGTAACATGAGTCCATGTTTTTCCTTTAAATCACTGGGCCGTGTTCTCTCTTTCTGGTTCCAGAGAGAAGGTAGATTGTAAACCTTAGGTGTCAGTATTGGGATACATCAGGGCTTTTGTGGGAGCAGGCCCAGTAGTCTATGGTTTCTCATTAAGTTTAAATTACAGGGCCAACAGAAACCCTATAATCCTACCATTTATTGACAGGATCAATACCTGCCTAGCATGTAGATACCTGGAAAGAATGTTAGAACCAGTAGGTACCATATAAAGCAACTCCTTCATTATATAGCTAAGGCTTTTGACAGTCAGTGATCCATCAGTCCACTGCCCCCCATCCATCCATCCGTCTGATAAGTGCTGAGTGCCTGCTCCACAGGCTGAAGATACCTCCAGCTGTACCCTCTGGGTACCCCACTCTTGTCAGTCAGCAGACACCAAATAGAATGTTGTTCAGTGCTGAGACACCCTGATGTTGGAAGCACATCAGTAATGAAGAAGCAGCCCAGGAAAGAATGGTGGACCTTCCCCGTGGGATGGTTGGTAAAGAAAGATTGCACTGGGGTACTTCGAGGGAGGTATCTGTGGGGTTGTAAATCTCTCTATAACTCACCATGACTTAAGAAACTTCTTCTGTGTTAAAGTAAAATTCTGCTTACTTAATATTGTCACTACTATGCGGTGACTGTTTCAGTGTAGAAAATGGTAGTAAGTAGGCGGGTGTGCAACACCTTTGATGGAATTTAGTTCATTTATTGTGGCTGAGTCTTACTCTTCCTTTAATCTGCTCATCATTAGTATTTAATGACTAAGAGAACACTGTTCTTTTGCTACCTATTATATCACAAGATCTATGAATGTCAGTGCCAAAGGGACCATGCCTATCATTGAGGTCAACTCGTTTGCTTTACAGGTGATTTAGTATAATTCATTTTTCTTTGCTGTTGGAGGTTTATCCCACAACTCTCCCTCTATTAATTGACTTTAAACCCACTCTTCATATACCCCAGGGAAGGTATATGAAGTTCAAACAACCTGATGTGTTCCTGGCTCGCAGATTCATTTGAAATAAGATTTTGAGTAAACAGCTGTCTTAAGCATCTACTCTGAGCAGGGGTCATCTCTGCTTTTGTGTATCTTTAGTTTGTTAAACCAGTTCCTTCTCCCAGTGAAAGTTGTTAAAGCTGTTCCTGAGCCTTGGAGTAAAGGAGGTGTCCTTAGGTGTGAAGGAGCTTGTCCAAGTACCTGGACTGCGTTTCTCTCCTGCGGCATTGTAGTTCTTTGGAGGCTGTGGCGTTTCTGTGTGTGTAGAGGACAAAAATATGGCAGGAAAGACAGAGGACATGAGGCTGCTGATGAAGGAAACAGTAGGGCTCTTCTTAGAGTGTTATTATTTTTCTAGATCTTCCAGTTTCTTCAAACTTCACATAAAGCTAGTTTATTTCAGGATGAGCCATTGTAAAATAACAAAATAGTCCCTCCCCTCCAGTACCAAGTTCATTAAAAACATTCATGAGCTGGACATCTCAAAGGGAGACTGTCCTGCCTGTGTTAGCGCTCGGCAGAGTTGGGGCTGCGCACACAGGCGGGAGCCTGGCGGAGGGTTGTTGATGAATCGTATGGGTGCCCTGCCCACCTGGATCTCTGGGGCGTTGATGAGAAGTGTTGTGCCCATACCCTGTTGCATGATTGTGTATCTGTTTTGCAAGGGCAGATTTTATATGTGTAATTTTGATGATTGGAACTTCATCCCTGGAAAGTGGCTACCTGCCAGAAATTCCAGCAAAATTCTTTCACCCTAGTCCTTAAATCATTCCCAAGGCACCAAGACAAAGGCGCCGGTGGCCAGTGCGCTGTTGCCACAGGTCAGGGCTGTCCAGGCACGTGGGGTCTGGGGCATCTCTGTGTTGTTGCAGCCTTACCAATGGCTAAGTGGGAAAGAACAACATTCCTGGTTCCTTAAGCTAAATCCCACTTCTTGACATTTTAGGGAACATAAAAATCATGCCTAATGGTATGTAAGCACATATCTGTGGATTTCTTTTATGTAGAAAAGAAAAGGCATTCCAAAAGATCAGCTCAGTGTAATTGAGGCTATCTGAAAAAGTTATTGCATTAATATTTAGCTAATTCATATGAATAGGCTATTGTGTTTACTTAAACAAATGACATGAGTGCAGACACCTGACAGCATGAGGTATGCTTTTCATTTAGGTCAGATTTGTAAAAGTCTTTGTGTAACGACAAAGCTCATTATTTGTTTTGTGCTCTCAATGGTTTCTTTTTAGTGGCTGTGGCTGTGGATGGATTTTTCTAAGTAGAAGCTTTTAAAATGTAAGATTATTGAAATTGTTTCAGTATGTGCCAGGCCCTGGAAGTCTTGTGATAAATAGGAATCAAGTACCCCCTGGTGAACCCCCAAAAGACTAGGTGTGTTTATGGCCATGCGACACCCAGAGCCAAATGGCTACCCAAGCCGCCTGCTCATTGCAAATGCAGCTAGATGCAAAGAAAAGAATGCAGCGCCTTGTCCTCTGGCCCTCCCTGCCTACTTTCTCTCTCTCTGGTGTACATGACTACCAAGTTTTGTGTCTCTTTGCACTGTTTTGGCATCACGTAGATGCTACCTAAATTCCTTGGCACTTAGATACGCACAGGGACAAGGAAGATACAGCGTGCCTTATAAGTAAGAAAATCTCAGCTCCACCTTTTATAGCAGGTTTCGAGAGAAAGCATAAGGTGAATTGGGGTAGGGGTTTTGGATGCAATGATGCCAATTCCTAATGGTACCAGAGTCTGGCTGCTAAGAGAAGGGGATGGTTACCCCACCAGGGGCATGCTGTGCCACCCACAGAAGAGAGGAGACTTCCAAATGTGCATCAGAGACAAAGTCCCTGCCCAGGACCATTTTGCCTCTGGTTTGTGGTGTGTGAGCTGTTGCTCAGTCTAACCCTTATGAGAAATAAGTACAGTTATGATTCTGTCTTCTAGAATGTTCAAAGCCCTGTTGACGGATGCTTTAGGGGAATACAGGGAATTTGATTACCAGGTTGCAAAGACAGAGGCATACATGTGGGAAATTAACTTGAGGTACAAGACTCCAGTGGACGTTCTGGACAGTAGTGAAGGAAGAAGTGTGCCTTTGGCCCAGGTGGGCTGCCCCAACTCTAGACTTAGACATCAGAGTGATCCAAGGTCTGGGTTCCGGATCCCAAGCCCTGGAGAAGCTGGCTCTTCCTAACGGTGGAGAGTAGGGTTGAAGACAGTGGGCTCTGGCATGAGACAGATTTGGTTCAGATCCCGGCTGCGCTTCTTCTGAGCTTCGTGCCTTTTGGCAGATTAATTAACTTCTTTGTGCCTTGGTTTCCCTACCTGTAAACGGGGATTACGGTAGTGCCTTTCTCACTGGGTGGTTGTGAGGATTCATGTGCTGGGCATGTTAAGAGTGTTCAAGCAGTGCTTAGCACATAGAAGCAGTCGGGCAGTCGTGGTCATCACCCATATCAGCAGGTGTGAAAAATTTGCAGCGGGATTCTGGACCGATGCTGTGGCTCTTATTTAGATAAAATGTACTTGGCGATTTAAAACCTTACCTGTTTTCTTGAGTTAAAAAAAATTCCCTTGTATTTATGACTTCAAGGTCCATTTACAGGGCACGACTTTATATGACATTTAGTTGATGGCCTCCTATCAAGTTAGCTACTTAGGGATGGTGGTAGGATAATGGTGTTCATAAGCTCCACTGAAGAGAAAAAAGAAGGTTTTTTTTTAATTTAAAAAATTAAAATATATTGGTTTTTTTATTTGTCACATAAAATGCTGGGAAATTAATGATACCTCCCTGGATTATTTTGTCATAATAGAATAATTTAAACCATTGAGTGCCTTTTAAAGCTCCCGTGCATAAGTTGGCGAGGCTTTTGAGGGACGACTTGTTGTTACTAGTGTGGGTATGTGATCCTTTAATAGGTGTTGTGATCTAAAATGATGTACTTTGGGAGGGCTCGGCTGTTATTATTGTATGTGTGGTTAATTGGTGTATAAAGAAGCATTTTAAAACACGGTTCAGCACGGAATTATTTTCTGGCACCAAGAACAAGAGAGAGGACGGGCCTCAAATGCTTTTTCCTGTTAATAGACATAAACCAATAAGCAGTCCCTCTCTGGGACCCTCGGCTAGGCCAGCTGGATTAAACTTCTGAAACTATTTTCCAAATGTGAATATTACCCAAAGATTTAAAAAGTATCAGATCTTTTACATACAAAGTAAAAAGATCTTACCTAATTGTAGTTTACTCATGGAGATGAAGCTATCTGTCTATCCACATTTTAACGTTGTTTTCCAAAACAGGAGCACCGTACTGGACAAACACAGAAAAGATGGAAAAACGGCTGCATGCTGTTCCTGCAGCCAATACTGTCAAGTTTCGCTGCCCAGCTGGGGGGAATCCAACACCAACCATGAGGTGGCTGAAAAACGGAAAGGAATTTAAGCAGGAGCATCGCATTGGAGGCTACAAGGTAGAATTAAGCTTTCAAAATATTCTATTTCTTAAATTCCTGTTTATCTTTAAAAGCACTAGAAAGTTAGCAGGAACTAGAAGGAATTTTTTTTTTTAAATCAGTAATTATCGTAATCGATCATGTCAATGTTTTACGTTTAAAAAAGATTACCCTGGACTTGCATGTAATTTTAAAGTGCAGTCTCCATTTGCATTGTTCTTTATGGGAGGAGAGTTTAATAACAGAAAGGTCGAAAGTTGAGAGTCTGTTTTCTATATGCTTTATAGTTTGTAAAACTAAAACTGGAGCGGAATTTGAGAAGCCTTAGTCCTGTTGCCTTGTTGGAGCAGGGGCGCATGAATAGTGAATGGACTTGGATTAGAGACTGGAGCATGAAACACTGCTCAGTCAGAGAGAGCGCGTGGACATGACAGCGGCCGTCCCTGGTCCTCCTTTTTCAAGGATTCTGAAGAGCCCGTCACACAGTGCCATGAAATTTAGCCTCATCACTCCCTGAGGGGTTTGAAATTGACAGCCGTCTCCCTGCAGACACTGGGATGCTCCTTCTAGCCTTTGCTCATCCGTCCTGCACACGTCGATCGAGCGCCCTCCGTGCCAGGCACCATCCTAGGCTCGAGCAGCCCCTAGTCCAGCAGGGGAGGCAGCAGGAGAGCTGGCCGTGGGGACAATGATAGGGACGAAGTCACAAGATTGTGTGTTGTCCTGTGGATGTGCAAGGAAAGGTGGAGTTGGCTCTTTGGGAGAATGAGGATAAAGGAGATCGAGGAAGGATTCTGGTCTGAGTTGGAAGGAAGGTTGTCTCAGAAAGAGAGATATAGAATCTCCAAATTTTTTAGTATGGAAGTGGGGAACTTTAAGACATTAACATATGAAGAGGATGTAGGGAAACCTTATTATGAAATTCATTGTTGCATTTGGAACATAAGTGGGTATATTAGTTACTTCTTGCTATGTAACAAATTACTCTGAGATGCGGTGGCTTTAAACAACATTTATGGTTTCACCGTTTACTGGGTCAGGAATCCAGGTGTGGCTTAGCTGAGTCTTTCTTCTCCAGGTCTCTCCTGGGACTGTGATCAAGGGTCAGTTAAGGCTGGGGTCTCATCTGAAGGACGAACTGGGGAAGGAGCGTCCTTCCTCACAGGCTGTAGGACCAAAGGCCTCAGTTCCCCACGAGCTGTTGGCTGGAGGCCACCCACAGTTCCTTGCCACATGGGCCTCTCCCTAGGGTAGCTGATGATGGCAGCTGCTGCCACCAGGGTGAGCAAACAAGAGGAGCCAGATAGAGAGAGTAGAGCAACACAGAAGTCACAGGCTTCTGTAACATAATCATGAAAGGGACGTCATTACTTTTGCAGTTTTCTATTATTAAGCAAGTCACTAGGGAGGAGATTGCCCCAGGACATGAATGCTAGGGGACGTGGGGATCACTGGGACCCATCTGGGGAAGCTGCACAGTGGGTAGAATAGAAGACACTTTAGCTCGGACCCCAGGTCCTTACAAGGCAGGTGGGAGGAGGGGATTTCTTGGTGGCAGCAGAGGGATGTCTGGAAGGACCGTCTCTGGTGTGAGTTCCAGCATCTCTTTGGATGTCAGGAAGCCCGCTCCATCCCTGCCTTAGGTAGAGCTTCCCTCTACCTAAAAGTGCCCTGGAGCCCTTTGCTGAAACATCACACAGACTTATTCATCTTCAGAGGAGTATTTGCTTCTGCAAAGTTTTTGCCTTTTTGTTTTAACATTTAGAAAATAACGTCTAGAGGTCAAAAGCCAGAGGAGAGTGGGGAAAGCTACGAGTCAATTTCTAAGAGCAGGTAGGGGACAGTCGATGTGTGAAACAGATCTGAGGCAGATCTGCTGGCAGGTGAGCACTTTCGAAGCTTGGAAGTAGAAATGCTTTGGTTGACATCCACGACTCATACTTGTTGGTGGAACCAGGAGGCAGTGGAGTGATTTGCCCTTTTGTCCTTAGTTTAGTCCTTAGACCAGGTACAATGAGATTGGAAGGTTGGCCCTTTTTTAAAAAGCAAATCTTTCTTTTTTATAATGAATAGACAAAGCTTTCATTGGGGATGCCGATTAGAAAGGAAGAGTTATGCCACTAAAATCATGGTCCCTGGAATTGCTTGAACCACCACATGCTGTCTAAACACTCACATAATTGATGCACTTGCAAAGATTTGTCTAAATACAATCTAAGTGTGAGCATGGTGGTCAAAATCCTGGTGGTTAACTAATTTTGGCAATTAAGACAGTCTTGCAAATAAGTACAAAGAGCGCCGCCGAGGCCCCAGAGACTCCAGGTCTCAAAATAAATGGAACCGGCATCATTATTCTGGGTAAGGAGCTTTTTGCAAATCTGAATTTGTGATTATAAATATGCTGGAAGACTAAGTGTGCCTAATGAGAAAATGCTGCTTGATTTTTAACAGGTGCAGTTCGGTTTTAATTATTTATGCCAACATCCCACTAAATGAAGGGCTCCTACATTCTAAAAGCAAAATGAGGACTCCCCCCGCCCCCCAGCACAATGCCTTTAATAGCCTGTCCCCGTGGAGCACAGATGACTGAAATGATTTTGTTGTGTCATATCTGAGCCGTTTCTGGAGTGAAAGAGAATTAGAATTTGAGTGCGTGGGAACAAAAATTTAAAATATATTTTGCTTTACAAAAAAAAAAAGGCAAAAGGGGAAGAGTATGGCACCTTGGATATGGTGTGCTGGCTGTGACGGGGGTGAGTTCCTCGTCCTTCTGGACGTTCTCTGCTGGACAAAGAGGCTGTGGCCTTGGGGCGGGTGGCCTGGGAGGTCAGCTCGCCGCATGCAGAGGTGATTAACCTGGGTTGAGTAAGGGGCTTTCACAACAGTGTTGGCATTGGGCATTCATTTGGGGCATGCCGGAAACTCCTAGAAATTCCGTAGTTACATAAAGCATAATCCTTGCTAATGAAGTGTTAAGCTAACCCCAGGTACCCAGGTACTGAAGTCGCTGGAGGTCAAAGAGGCCCATACCCACCTGCGGGCTTCCCCACGTGGCTCCCACCCAGCACACCGGCTGGCCCTGGCCTGCTTCCGCCTCACGGGTCCTTGTCAGGGTCTGAACAGGGCAGAGTTCGGGGAGCGTGGTCCTGGTGTTGGGTTTTCTCTTTGATATTTTCTTCATTACTTATGCAAACTTTTAAAGAAATGTGCCTCCGAACATTTCACCTGAGGGAGCTATAATTGTACAACTTCTAGTTTTCATTCTCCAGCACTTCCTCAAAAGGAAAGAGACCTGACTGAAACGTGGAGGGCCTGACATCTAAACTACCCGCTCCTCTGATTCCTGTCCACTTGCCATTCATTTAAAGAAGCAGCAAAGTGTCACGTTTTCCAAGATACGTTTTTTTCAGAAAGCAAAGCCCCGAAAACTTCTGCAAACAAACATTTGTTTTTCTTTGTCCTTCAGAAATCTGCTCATTCCATAAACCATGGCTGTGCTTTGGTGGCCTGTCCTTCTGGTTCTTTCTACCTGTTCATGGGTTGGGCACCTGGGCCCTTGTCCCCTGCATTACAGCTTGTTTTGAAATGGCATGCATATGCGGCCAATAAAGGGAGAAGGGAAAACAAAAAAAAGCAAAACAAAATCAGAATTATGAAATGGGACAGAAAGCTCATTTTAATTAAAATGGCCAATAGAACGACGTGGAGTTCTTGTTTGTTAAAAAATTCATGCCGAGCCCTCTTAGATGATTAGGAGTCAAATTATTGTTTTTTATAGTATGTGGGCAAAGGCTGGTTGGACGTTATTAATGTGTAATTAATTTAGTATAATCGTAAAGCCTGACTTGAGTCATAACTAAATCTCCCTAATTGTCCTTGTTCCTGGGCTTTTCCATCGGTCTTGACCATGGGCGAGTGTTTAAGGCTCTGTGGGCCTCAAATCCCCTCCCTTAAAACGAGAAGATTGGGAAAATAATCCTGAACATCTATCTGATCCCTGTTAGCTCTAAGAACTATGATTTAGTAGCATAACCATAATTCAGCATCAGCCATTTTTCATCTTAAACAACAGCACAGATTTTTTTTTTTTACAAAGAGGTTACCTTTATGGCTAGATATTTCATAGGGCTCTGAACAGTTATTGCTATTTAATGCAGGAAAGCAAGAAGACCCCTGAGATAATTAATAGACCACCTACATTCCCAGCTCGTTCTTAGGTAATGACTTAGGCAGGGGCAATTCTTAAAAACTATCTTTCACGCCACTTTGAAGTGTATGAGAACATAGACCAAGAGGGAGCTCAGGGTAAAGGACTCTTCAACATGGCTGTGAAATCAGCACAGAAGCCCACAGCCCCATGTGACCTAGGGGTTGAAATTTCCCACGAAGCCCCTCAGCAGAGAGCAAAGCATTATTGAGCATAGGCCATTCATTTCCAAGTCTGTTTCAGATAAGACAACTTAAAGAAGTGTTTTGTTATCGTCACTGCTAACCTGGTTGTTTTGAAGCATAGGTTAAGTAGGTTTACCTTTTCTAGGTTAGTTACCTAAATGTCATTTTAAAGACTTTCTGATGCAAATGCTATGTGTTTAGGGGACAATCATGACTAATGTACTTATCGGCATATTCATACTTTCTTGAGATTTTTCTCAGCCAAGATGTTTCAGCCTTAATCTCCCAGATCAAGCAGTCTGTGATGAGGAAACAGGTGTGGGTTGGTATCAGCCAGCATTTATTGACTGCTCCCCTGTGTGGGGACTGTCCAAGTGCCCCCCAAGTGGCGTGTCCCTCAGCTCTTCCACAGCCGGAAGAGGCAGGCGCTGTTATTTTAACCCTTGCCGAGGAAGGCTCCTGTGCCCCAGAGGTGGCAGAGCTGCCGTTTGGACCCAGGTGGTTTTGCACCAAGGTTGATGCTCTTCCTAAACTGTTCTCTTCAAACGTGGTTCCCTGTTTTGTAAAAACACCGTTGCTGATAAATGAGAAACACAGTGAAGGTAATGGCTTCCCCTGAAAGGTCG